TTTTTTTTTTCATTGTGTAAAATTGTGCTGAAAATGAATAATTTTAACTAAATATACAATTTCAAAAAGCTATATTATACACTACATAAAATCGTACTTCTGAAGAGTCTATCGCAAGGAAGTAACACAACTTCCAAAAAATAGAAGATGGTTTAAGTTAAAGGTGTAAGTTCCACGTAAGACAAAACTTGACAATCTATTTTCCTCTCCGATTCGCATCAAAGTTGTGTTGGGAATTTCTTATTTATCGCAATGTGGAATACCCGCTTTTCAAGACAAAAAAAATAGTTTTCGTTTTTCCAAAAAATGGGCTTCCTGTGTTGCAACACACCGAAAATAATGGGATTCCTGTGTTGAATAAAACATGGCGGCCAGACTATCGGCCAGTCTGTGTCTTTTTTTACAGTTATTTACATTTATTAGGAGTCAAACGTACAAGTATTAAGTGGAATTATGCTAAGAATTAATCTAACTAAAGCTGACATTGAAAGAAACTGTCTACATTTGCTAGGATATAAGGTAAAGTTGTTATAATTTGATTACGTGAAATGCGTTTTTTATTCGTTTTTGAATTACGTAACTTAAGTCTATAGGTCTTTCTATACAGTTTTATTGCATGTATTAAAATTATTTTGATTTTTAAAGTTGTTATTTCATATTTTAGCTAACTCAATGTTAACTCAATGCTAACTCAAACTCAACTCAAACTCAACTCAACCTCTAACTCGATGATTATCCTATCTCAAAATAATTACTTATAAGTCCATTATAGTTACTTAAATTGACTGATTTTCTTATATCAATTGGTAGCTGATTAAAGGTGTGAGCAGAGATTTTGTCATGCCATACATCTCATGCTCGCACAACATTTTAAACAAAGATGACAGAGGCCATATGCAGTCATCAATTGCTATTTTTTAAGCCTTCTTTATACTGGCACTAGCCACATGCAGTCTTTGACTGCGTATTTTTTTTTTACAATCTTGTGCAGTTTCATAGGAAGAAGTCCAATTCGTCAAAATATTTGGTTCTGAATGTAGCGAAGACGTTTTGCTGGGATAGACAGATTTCTTAACTTTACTACCAATTTGACGTCATGTTTCGAAGAAACGTATTGGTCAATGTTACAACAGAAGTCCAATATTTAATTCAACTGAAAAACCTAGTCTGACCCAGATTGACCCACATTTAGGCAGTGAAATCGAAGTTTGTATTTGAACTATTTTGATGATCAAGTCGCTATTATTTTCATTTTACACMATAATATGATGTCTCACAAAACATTATTTTTGCAATGTGTTTTTTTGAGCTAACAATCGTTTTCTTTATAATCTCTTAAGGGAAAATTTATTAATGGATTAATGGATTATAATGGATTCTGCAAGTAAACGATCGTGTGTGCCTGTAATACTCCTAACAAACCAAGACACCAGAAAACACGAGAGAATGAGAGGACGCGCTCTAGGAAAGCGCTCTTTGCCCCACTAGGTAGGTAGGAAGTAGGAATAGTTATTATTTGACACTATCAGGTTTTGAAAAATATTAACAGTATTTGCTTCACACTTTCTCTTTTACATAAATTGCATAAATTTAGCGTAATACCAAAACTTAAGTAAATGTGATATTAAATTGCATATTTCATCTACCCTTAAACTAACATGAATTGTCACTTGATTTTATATTTGTGTCAAATGTTAATGCAAACCGTTAATAACTTAGTGTTTGATTTTTTATAAAACCCGTTAGTAATTTCAACAGTTCAGTTTAAGGGTGTTCTGCTGTCCTGGTTGCTAGGTAAATTTCAGAAATTGTAAAACACGATAAAGGACTTCTATGGTTATTCTCTTTTAATACATGACTTCTCRAACGAGAAGAAACGGATCGATGACGTCATCGAGTGACGTCATCGTATGACGTCATCTGAACAGAAAAAACTCAAAGACTCAAGTTCAAATTGATTTAGAAAACAAATACTTATATTTTACGAAACGTAAATACATAGTGCATAAATCCAAGCATGTGTTTTGAGAATAATGAATAAATAAAAATGTTGTGGAGTTTTTCGTCAAAATTTAAAGCAAAATTGCTTGTAACTTCTGTTTTCTCAAAAATTTTCCAAAACCCATGCTTGAATTGTAAAAGAACACAGCAATGAACATATGTTTGCAAAAAGAATGATGTTTCGATTTATCGTGTGGTAGTTTTAACATTTTGAAAATTCTCTTGTCGACCGGAAGTAAAATTCACTACGCATGCGTGGTGAAGACAAGACAAACAAAGATGGCGGCATTCGATGAGCACGTTTTGAAACGACAACCAGTAGATATTAATCCATATCTTCAAGAATCAGCGGTTATGGCTCAMGCAATTTATTTCACCAGCCAGGATAAGGTAAGACCGACTTTTTTTTACAGTATAGATGACTAAAATAGAAAAAATAGAAATGACATAGCACATTATCAAAAGGCCACCTGAACTCATGATCGAGTATACAACGATAAGCTTGTTCTTTTTCCTACTATCCCTTTATGAATTTGATAAAATTTATGATCACTTTTTTTCCCATGTTGAACAGTTTAAATCTTTCATGGAGAAACTAGTCTACTGTTGAAATATATTCTACAATCAATCAATAAGTTAAAAAACTTTGATAAAGCTTACAATATTGATACTCGATTTCTTTTGACAAGCTCAACTAATTTACATCAAATTTATGTTATTTCCACATTGATTACTATTGATTTCTACTGATGCATGGACTTAAAGTATTTCAAATTACAATATTATATATATCATTTACAAATTTTATGAATAGAAGTAATCTGCAATTTTTCTTTGTGAGACTTTTGAAAATGATTTTGTTTTGAGCTTCATACAAAACTGATCTTTACTACTTGTCTCTGACAACTTTTTCAGCTCTTCAAATGAAAGGCCAGATGATGNATAACACATCTTGACATGAAGCATCTTGATCCATGACACATTTTGTAATGATGAAACCACTTCGCTGAAGGTCATCTAGCATCTCAGAAAACATATCTCCCTCTGCCCCAGCACTCGTCCCCACCCAATTTGCCAGTTTCCCCTTTTTAGTTCTATGTGAGTAGGCTATGACTTTTCCTGTTTTTAAATCATGAATGGTYGCAGATGAATTGTTTGAATAATGACCTCTAGTCAAATARAATCCATCAAATTGTATACTCAGATTTGTTTTATCCCCACGATTAATTATTACATTCCTTGCCTCGTCAATACTCCATTCAGTGATTGATTTGACTTGAGGGTGGATCCAGTCTATTACTCCCAACCACTGTTTCTCACTTAGAGTAGGCAAACCGAAGGTACCCAGAATGTTTGAATAGTCTTTGAAATATTGCCCAGTTACTAGAAATGATATAGCTGTGAAAGTTGGTATGTAAGGATGTTTTGATTCTCTTGTATCATTTACAGTACCATAGAATGGCATATATTTCTTGTTTTGACATTTTTTACATACTAATAATAGATTGGTTTTTCCCTCAATGTCAATCACATAGTCAGAACAATTTCCACATTCAGGACAAGCTTTTTCATTTGCAATTTGCTGGAATGTTTTAGCATGAGTTAAATAACACTGTACATCACATTGAACTCCAAGTGGGGAGTTTGTTAGGTTTTCAATTATGATCTGCTTGAGTAAATACAGATTTTAGTCGATCTTTCAACTCGTTAGTGTTATCTAGAACATCTGGAACGTTTTCTTGTGAACTATTGGAGAGTATTTCTATATCAAGATGGTTAAATAAATCAATTAAATTTAACTGGCTGTGAAAATCTTTTATGTAACAGATCGGGGACTCGTATTGTGTAAACAATTGTTGGGCAACTTCCGGTGTTACCCAGGTAACCGGTGTTACCCTTCGTTCTGTTCAAAACGAAGTTTTTATCAGCTTATATTGCGCTGAAAATCTGAAGAAAATGCACAAACATCGACTTTGGACATCCCTTGTTTTACTTTGAACAATAATTATGCGAAAATATCCTTAGTTTGTGCTAAAAGTGGCATAAATTAAACCATGTCAAATTAGTTTTCCAGAGTGAATTAGGAATTTCTTTTCAATATGCGCGAGCGAGCTGACGACATCAAAGTTGTGCGCGCTCACGAACTTCGTCCTCGTCTTCGTTCTCAAATCTAAAGGTCTCTAATGACATTCACTACAACGAAATCAAATGTACCACTGCTTTCATATGACTGAGTATAATCTTATATTTCAAACTTTTACAAAATTTGTATAGCTCATTGGTTTTGAATTTTTGCACTACGGTAATGTTCCTTATTGTTGTAATACTTGGTCTTAAGAAACGCCTTGGTAAAGGCCTTTCAGAGCTGTTTTCGTCTTCATAGCGTTTTAACGCCATTCGCTTCGATTTTCTGCTTAAACTCTCCTGGTGCTTATGATCCAAAGCATTGAAAAGAGAGTTGACCTCTTCTGATTTCCATGGGATTTTTTTACAATTAGACAGGCTTGACCGCATTCGTCTGTTTTCGAAGGACATGTACTCCAACATCATWATTCGTCCATACTTGACTTTTTCTGTTTCGCTAATTTGGCTTGTTCGTTTTAAAGCAATCTTTCTTGCTGACAATTTCTGAAATATTAATCATACACGTTTTTAATTTAATTTCATTATACAATCATTATCAGTCAAGATGACAACTAGATGTTGAATGGGGATTGAATGTCACTCTCTTTGAGCTACTATAAATACACGATGTTGAATTATGCTTCAAACATGCACGGATCAACTACCACTTGACATTTTGTCAAATACTATTGATGTGTACTTGATTAGATTATTGTGGGACCTTTAGTATCGTGGTGGATAATATAATAAACAACCTACCCTCTTTCTACGCTCATATTTCCTTTGCCTTGCAAGGTGGTTTTCAAACTGGTTCTTTTTTATGTGTGCTTCATAAAGCGATGTGTAATATCGACGTGTGGCAACTAAAAGATAACATCAGTTGTCATTGATAATGATTTTGTTTAAATTAATTCAAACTAAATTTTCATTTCTCATATAGTTGTGGTTTTCTGGTTAAATCCTGATAGTGGTAAAGCTATGTAAGCCACGTGCACATCCTTCAGCAATATCAGTATTCGATAGGCATTTGTAAGTTAGACTTATATTAATTACACACCTCTGATTGATCCTTTGGGTGCGTCAGGGTGTATACCTTTCACCATCTTCATTATTGCATCACTGGTCTCCACACTCTTGGGATCTCTTCGACTGAGGGTAAGGATCAAATCACTTAATTCAGTATTTATTATACTAAATTGAAGAGCTATAATTCTTATTGATCGAATTGTTAGAAAAGGTGCTATAAATATATATATCGTGATCTAAATATATACCCTTTTTCAAAGTCCCAAAGCTGCAAATCGTTCTCTTCCTCTTCCTCTATGTTTTCTTTCAACGTAGTGACGCTCTCACTGCTTCCTGCGTATCAAAAAATAGTATTTAAGGATTTTTTTTCAAGCTTTAAAATGTTTAACTTAATTACTCGTATTTCAATGGGTACTTGAATCTGTTGTTTAAGCAGTTCCTATTCTTTGGACTTTTGTTCCAAAAGTGCTCACGCTGGGCTGGGAGCCACTCAAATCCGGCGCTTTTAACTTTCTCGAGTCCGCACGATTCTCAGCGGTTTTGCGCTAGAATTTGCTTGTCAAAGAACAGACTAAGAGTGGAAGTTTAATAGAATTACTGTTTAACCAAGCAATGATTCTTCTTAGAACAGAATGCAATGATTGAAATCTGTCAATCTTGAAAATAATTACTAAGATCAGTTGCTTTTCAGCAATTAGTATTTTTGGGTACAAATATTGTTTTATTGAGACCTACAATGTATGTAAGTGAACAATTAATGACAAATTAATGACCTTTTGAGTAGTTTTCCTCAAAAAAAGGAAATAAAATTGACATGTATAAAGTAAAAACACACAAGTCAATACTCATTTTTTTTATTGAAATACATTGAATTTTACCAGCAGATCTACTTTGGTTATTGCCAAGAATTGAGAGGAAACAATGCATCTGTTCGCAAAGCTTAAAGATGAGGCAATTCGTACAGGTCACACAAAGGTGAAAATACAACATAACACTACAAAACAGAAATGTTTCATTTTGGTATCTTTATTCAATTAGAAATATCCATTACAGCATACATTTCTAATATAGTATACTGACAAGCATGTGGTCTACCTTTCTCATAAACCTAACATCTACCTCTCTAAAAAGACTTAAACTAGACCTAAACTATTTATTATATCTAATATCAGCCATCTAAGTCACTCCCCAGGGATTGGTTACCCCAGCTTGTGAAAATAGTTGGCTTGTGTAATAAACTAATCCCCAGAGGTTGATTACCCCAGCTCTTAGTAATATTACATACCTGAAAACTTGTAAAACATCTTGAGAATCTGATAAATTTCAAAAAAGCATGAATATAATAATCTTTAACATTCAATTTATACAGCAGTGGTTTTACTTTTATTCATGGACAAGCATAGTCTGACGTGCTCAAAAGCTGACATATTTCAACATCTAGTTTACCACTTTCACAGCTTTTAGAAATTGCACCACTGAGAGAATGGCTACAGAACTTGCATTAAGCAGAATCAATGTCTTTTGAGAAACCACAGTAACAATGATCTGGATTAGCTGTGCATGCTGGAATGTAACTTTCACTCTTATGCTTAAACATACTTGCCAGAGGGTCTTTCTCCCTCAAGTAAAATGTGTAACATACTCATGTCTGAATATGAGTTCCCATCTATTGGATGTTAATGTGTGTTTTGCATAGTCTGCAAGCTTTACATGTTTGGACTCCCTTCCTTGCATAGTGTTGATACCTAGACCCAAGCTAAACTTGTTCTTGGTGATCAAGGCATGGTTAGGAATAGCATATCCAATAGTCCATACTGTGGGTGTCACAGAACCCATGAACATTGATGCACAGTTTAAAAAAAGCTCTACAATGTTTTGTTAGATCAATAATGTAATTTTCTGTCAAAGTTTGACGACAGAAAAGAGACACAGCATCCCTAATATGTAAGCCAAGAAAAGCCAGTGCATAAAGTTTGAGAGTGAAAGTAGCACTGGCATTGGGCACTGCAGCCTCGAGTAGTGAAATCAAGTACATAAAATTATGGCAAAAACTCTTACTTTCTTTACCAGTAAATCTGGTAAATCCATTTAAGCAGGGGTTCATCGTCATCATAGTAATGACTATCAATGTACAAGTACATTTTTGCAATTTTTAGCAATAAATCTTCAAGTCCTCTGTATTTTCCTACTATTTTATCATCTAGGTCAGTACAAAAGATTGAAAGGTCTTTAAGCATGTCAATGTCAAGTGAATTGACAAAGCTCACGACTTTATCATAAGTTAAATACCTAGGGATAGGAACCCCTATTCCAAACTGTATTCTGCCCTTCTTTTTTTCAATGATGATGATGTGCTTTCATCAATTGATGCTAATCTCACAAATTTATATTTGGCTTTACTGATTAGACCCCCATTATATAATACTTTGACACTGCGAGTGATATTTATGTCACTTTTCTCAAACAAATTTACCTGCTTCTTGATTATCGGAGCAATAGACTTTGACAGCAGTGTAGATGAATCCTCAATATATTTTTGAACCTGATTATGAGAGGCATTACTTACAAAGGTAGACCACAGCCCATTTAATGCAGGTTTACTATCTGCTTCCGTAGCTTTATGAATAATGTTGGCAGCTTCCATAGTCTCCTGTACWCGTTGACGGGCTCTTCTCTCATCCAGCTCCAGTTTACTTGAATTTTCTGACTTCACATAGGATGGGTTGCGTTGCCTTGCTAGTAGTTTCCTCTTTCCAAACACAAGTACTTCTTTAACCTTTTTCTTCTTGGCCATGGATCCAGTAGCAGCTTCCAAAACATCCTATGTTTGTCCTACACTTATATCAATGTTGTTCACCTGAATGCAACTCAAAAACATTTGCTGATTAGGGTACATATTTAAATATAAGAATTAGTAGTGATCATTGTAACAATGATATGGTTAAACTGATGTGAAAACAATATATCATTGAAATATGATGTTATTAGAATAATTCCTGAATTACATGTATACTAAGCTTATAAATACTAGAGTTGATTAATGGACGACTGGGGAACAAACAAGGATTTTTATGCCAAACAAACTTAACCTGATTGATTTCTGAATCAGTTAATCATATCTGGAATATTATATAAAAATGACATCACCTTTTCCTCTAAACGACGAAGTTTTGCCCTCTTGGCTCGGTAAAGTGCTGATTTGGCGAGAATTTCTCTATCAAGCCTTTTGGCTGGACTACCATTTATCAATTGCTGCATTCGCGCGACATTAAAGCGACTGTTTTTCTTCGTCCGTCCCATCTGGTCCCTAATAAAAAAAATAACCTTAATCAATCTATTTAAAAATGTGCAGACAGTGTCTAGAAAGTAAATACAACACTTCTATAACTTTAAGATCAAGAAATCTAATTAGACTTTACTTACCAAACTAAATTAGGAAAACGAGGCAATCAGCTCAACTCTAACCGCACCAGCTACATCCTTCAGTCAGTTCTCTTACGAAAATACCAAGTTAAACACGGTTTACACGAATTGAAATAACTCATCGAAAGCACAATAAAATCCTATGACACTTCAGCAATCTCACCTTGGATAAAAATGCGAAGACTTCTTCGTTTCAGAATTGTACAAAAATCATCAAAAGAGCCAAATATAAGAATCTAAAAACGTGCTTTTTCTAATAGACTCTTAACAGGAGAGAGCGCACTCGAAAGACTTTCACAATCAAGCAGATTCAAAGCACCAAAAATTGCACATTCGTCGACGAGTAGCTCAAACAAATTTGCTCACATTAAAGATCGATAGCTAATCGGATAGAGTTCGGAATTTTATGTCAATCAAATAAGGAGAACACATTTTATTCGGGTTCTTATAAAACACGTTCGTGATTGCATCGTGGCGATCGAATATCGTACGACGATCGTCGCGCGTAGCAGCAAAATAACAACACAGGCGTCCCAAATCGGCACGTTTTAAAACCGCCGAATCCGTGCGCCCGTGGGCCCATCGTGCCGCGTTCTGCTTCATTATTTTTTATTGATTTCCAATGATGTCTCTGAATAAGTCTTGATTTGTTATTTCTATTGAATGTAGAACGAGAAAAATCATGACAATTATAAGTAACTTAAATGCCATAAATTATGCGGCTCACATTGTAACCGCCAAGTCAATAGATACGTTACTTTTGGCGCACAGAGTACGTCAACATAAACCGCTTTTCAACACTGACGCAATAAATATTTATTATGTAGTATTTCGCTTAAAGAACTTAACAAAAATATTATAAGGTAAAACAACTAGATTGATAATTGCGCACATCCCTGCAAACCGTCAATTCATCCGAATAGATTTGTAATTTGGCCCCAAAACGGTCACATACATAATTATGTAGCTCGCTTGTATTTTGTTTTATAACTGCACTATAGTTCGAAAAACGGTACAAATGATTGTTTTCCGATACAAGAAAATATTATCAAACGATGTTATTTAACATTTGACTGACCTTAACTACTGTTTGTGGACGTTATACATTTTGGCACCAAAATGATTTTATAACGAACGATATGTTATTTACCTTCACTGCCGGTTTCTAAGTTGGTAGCGGACTTCTGAGCCTGTTCATTTTTAGTAATTTGACTTCCCATTAGAATTGGTTTTGATGCCTCTTCTTCATTATCAGAACTTTCTTCGCTGTTTTCATAAACATCGTCGTTGAAAATGTCTGCTTTGTTTGTCAACATTGTGAATTGGGTCTCAATAACCACACAGAAAGATGATTTCTGGATCTAATGCAATAATGATATTTGTCTCCAAAATGCAAGTAGGTACACTGCACTACAACAGCAAGATGTAAAATGCTGAGTCTCTCTCTCCCATCCACTATATATACATGGTATAAATTACTCGATATCAATTTCACTGTCATTTGTCACATTTAGCTTGAATCCATTCTTAGTCTCACACTTGGCATTACAAGCTTAGCGTTACAATCTATTAGGAGTACAACTACAAACTGTCTTTTACTATTACATTTTAATGGAAAGACCTCCTAAACGACCGCGAAAGGTTTGTCCTGCATTCATTCATCGTGATACTTTATCGAACACCACAAAAATGAAAATCACAATATCAATGAAAACACATGGCTTTGCGAACCAAGGAGTGATAGAAGGGATGGAGAGCGCACAGCAACAGCATTTAACCAACATTTATACATGTACGAGGACATGGATAGTGAAGACTCGATGGAATGTGTCTCCAATACAGATCAGAGGAGGTTGGCCACTCCTCCGAAAATTATTATGGTCCGGAAATGAATTTTAATTCATTTGGGCTTTGACCGTCAGAGTGACAACATCTAAGTCTGTACTGTAAATGGACGCTTTATTTCACCAAGGATCATATTGATTGATTCTATTCTTATTGCTGATGAATTTGTAGACTTTAAAACGTTGAATAAAGAAATTTCAATTGACTTTGCAATGAAATTCTCTGGAAAAACTACAAAACGTTGCCTGATGATAATTGAAGCGCTTCCGTTACTAAAAGTGACACTCAATCAAATATAAAACAAATACGTTTTGTTTATATTATTGCACTATAAAAGCAAAACAATTCAAAATGCATTTTACTTCTTTTTTGCTTTTATTAGCTCTCTAAATTGCTTAAGTACGAAAAATTGATCTTAGCAAAGTAGCTATGATGATCTGTTGACCTCGGTGTTTGTAGTTGGCGGTTAACATTCACGTCAAGAATCAGATTACAACCATAGAATGACGATTTTGTACCATTTTGCAATGCCTTTATCTCATAAACTATTGGTGGGTCGGGGTGAGCCGCTGGCTTTAAATCAAAGTTTATTCTTTCATCTTTCTATACATGTGATAATCTTCCATGAAATCTTTACAAAAAATATAAGTTCTCATGCCTTAAACATTCCTACTTAAAAGCGATCTTCGAGCTAATAGCGCGTATAACACGTCGTGATTCAAATGCCTTGTTTTAGTCGATGTTTTCCTTTTCTGGTCGCAATCTTTCAATATGTTCAACCTATGTTTATGTACTTTGAGCTCCAAGAGTTTCAAGAAAAAATTCTGCCGAATAGTCTCAAAAATCGCCTGTTTTGTGGTCTTGGTGTCACCTCTTCTGTTTAGAAATCTCATGCCGCGAAAAGTTGAAAGGGGAATCGTGATTGGCTGGTTTGTGTACCATAATCCTTTTTGGAGGAGTGTCCGGCCTCCTCTGATACAGATGTAAGTTTAGACGATATTTCGAGAAGCATTGATTCACATTCTTTAGAGAAGGAGAAAGATGACCTTGATAAAATGAAAGGTAATATACATGACGTTGTTAATCTACCCATTGAAACTCAAATAAGTGAGGATGAACTTGATGATGAAAAGGAGCAATGGGACGAAGAACTCGAAGAAATTAGGAATGACACTGTAAGTAATGAATATGAAAAAACACAAAAACATAATCCTAGCAGTGTACTTGTAAAATGGATTTGTCTTTTCATAAGTGTGTGGCAGGCTACATGTGCTATATCAGACAATGCCATGAAATGGCTTTTGGAATTTTTAGCCGCATTATTAAAAATCCTTGGGATTCATTGCACATTTGTCGCATCATTGGCAGCTATGTTTCCTTCTTCGTTGCAGATGCTATAGAATATTCTTGACATTGACAGAGATAAATTCACTAAATTTGCTGTTTGTCCTAAATGCAATTCAATATATTCTTTCCAAGAAGCCGTAAATAAAGGATATTAGTGGAAGGGAAAAAAGTCTAACTTGCACAAAAAGTGTCAAATTTCCCGATCATCCTCACAAATCAAGAAGACGACCTTCTGGAGAAACGATTATGAAAGAGGTGTTGCTAAAAGGAAACAAGAAATCGTTTTACACTCGAAAAGTATACTGCTCCAAAAGTGTGATCGATTCGCTTMGAAAGTGTGTGTCGTCAAGTACTTTTCAAGAAAATTGTGAAAAATGGAAAAAACGTATTATTCCTGCAGACATTTTAAGTGATGTGACGGATGGAAAAGTGTGGAAGGATTTTCAACATTTTGTGCAAAACGGACATAACGGTTTTTAAAATGCTAAACTTAGACTTTTTCCAACCTTTCAAACATGTAGTTCGCTCTGAATGCGTCATTCGCTCTGTATGCGTCACAATCTTTTCAGCATAAGCGCTTTACAAGGGCTGCTGCCAAAGAGAGATTTAGAGTGCTGGCGGGTATTTGTTCGAGCTTCCCGTTTGCTAACATCCCGTGTTATTCGCATGAATGATGTTTTTGAGGCTGATACACTGTTACTTCGGTTTTGCAAGGGCGTGGAAACTTTATATGGCAAAGACGTCGTAACACCTAACATGCACTTGCACTGCCACCTAAAAGAGTGCATCATTGATTATGGTCCAGTATCTTTTTTTCTGGTGCTTCAGTTTCGAAAGGTATAATGGCATTTTAGGAAAATACCCAACAAATCAACGGTCTATAGAAATACAACTAATGCGTAATTTTTTTAAAGACAATGATATTCTGAAAACACAGGACGAATTGTCTTATCAGGAGTATAAAGATCTACAGCAAATTATCCAAAAAGAAAACAATGAACAGAGAGGATCGCTGTTTGAGACAAGCATACATCGTATTCCAAAATGGCCGAGAGAGACGACACGAAAACGAGGCATCAAGGGCCACATCTATAATCTTCTACAGTGTATTTMTATCAATATGCCGCAAAACTGTTGTGTCCCTGAGTGTACAAAGAAAATTTACGTCGAAAATGGAATCAAAATCTCGTTTCACAAGTTCCCTGAAGACCAAGATATATTTAAAAAGTGGATAGTCGCTATTCGAAGAGATTTAGGGAGAGATTTTCGTGTTACAGAGCATACTAGAGTCTGCTCGCGACACTTCAAGCCGCAGGACTACAGACCTTCTTTACTACCTGGAGCCATACCATCAATTTTTCCCTGGAAAGAGGGTTCTCCAGCTCGTAGGAGATCCCCTAGAAAGAGGACTTTATTTGTAAAAGAAAAAGCCGTCGCTTCTACAAATAATGACAATCTCGGCGCGTGCAGTACTACAACAACATGCGATGTTGAGGAATTTCCGGTCTCGCATGGAGAAACTTCAATGAACATCGACACACAACCAAACCAACAAGCATTTCCAGACTACGAAGACCTCAAATGTGAGTACACTCGGATGTCAAATGAACTTTCCCGTGCTACGGARATTCAGGAAGCMCTTCAATCCAGAATCGAGGATCTGGAACGTCAAGTACTCGACTTGAAAAGCAAAGCGTTTAGCGCTGATAACCTAACCAAAGCAGACAAAGATGTGGTGTTCTATACAGGATTTTCTTCTGTCCTTATTTATGAAGCAGTYTACAAATTTTTGGACCCTGGAGAGCGTGGCSAAAACATAAACTACTGGCACTCAACACCAGATACTACACAGAGTGACAAAGACAGAGAAACGGAAATACCAAAGCAGGGTAGGCCTCGACAACTTTCTGCCAAAGAAGAATATTTTTTGACATTGTGTAGACTAAGACAAGGGTTTAGAGAGCAACACTTGTGTCATTTGTTTAATRTCTCCYAACCTACAATYAGTCGAATTGTCATTTCCTGGATCAACTTTATGTTTTTAAGATGCAGTGTTGTTCCTATTTGGGCCTCTAGATCATTGATAGACGAACATATGCCTGCAGATTYCCAGGAAAAGTATCCAAACACAAGAGTGATAATAGACTGTACAGAGATTCGTTGCCAAATGCCGAAAAGTCTCCGTTTGAACAGCGAACTGTTCAGCAATTATRAAAATCATACCACCTTGAAAGGACTAGTTGGTGTTTCTCCTGGCGGTGCCTTTACTTTCATAAGCCAATTGTACACTGGACGAATTYCGRATAAAGAAATCGTTTTAAGGTCAGGCATATTAGATTTACCCTTTGACAATGGAGATGTCATTATGGCAGACAAGGGGTTCACGATAGAGGACTTGATGCCAGTTGGATGTTCGGTAAATTATCCTYCCTTCCTGGGAAGGGATGTACAGATGAGTGCAGAGGATTTTGCCAAAACACAGTCAATTGCCTCATTAAGGATTCATGTYGAAAGAGCCATAAACAAGGCAAAGAACYTTCACATTTGGGACAGTGTGATTCCTTTTTCACTCTTTGGGGTTGTTAATCAGATGTGGTCAGTGAGTTGCTTTTTGTGCAATTTGCAAAACAGCATAATAAGCAAATAAGTAAATAGATTAGAGGGAACGCACTTAAGGTTACTGTGGCCCTTCGCGGCGTCAATTTTAACGTTTTTTTTTTGTTAACAGATTGCTTTACATGAAAGGGAATCTTTCTGATTCCAAAAAAATATTTTCGAAAAGTTTTTTCGTTCGCGAGATATTTAGGGAAACGCATTTTATCGAAAAATAAATAATACTTCAAAGGTGTCGTAATCCCTAGATTGCGTGACCGCTCCCGTTGAGTATTTCGGAGGCCACGTCTGGCTTGTTCTTGCCTTCTTCGCCTTTCTCTCTCCAGTAGATTTGGCTTTTCTGATCTTTCTTTTAGGCATACTTTCGCACTTATAAGCTCTCCGCGATATTAGATCTGCTGCGAACTCAGAACTGCCGCGAACTCAGAACTGCCGCGAAAATCACTAGATCTGCCGCTCACCAGGTGAGCCGCGTTTCTAATTGGCCAGTCGGTTGACCTTTCTTGACCGCGATGACAGATGATGGTTCTATGTTTACACAACTTCATTGCTTGATTTCTCGTTTCGTGTTTTTCGCGGGGTAGCGAAGTTTAAAAGAGTCCAGTTCCTCGCGATTACGATAAAATGTTATGAAAATTTAGCAGAAGCACATGCAACTCATGAATAGCAAAATCGTGTGAGCGTTTCTCAAATTACGTCTTGGTTTTTGTTTTATAAAGGTTTATATCAAATTACACCAAAAAAATGCATTCTTCGATTCAACTGTGATTTATTTCTAAACTAAGTAAAATATTAAAAATCGCTCACACGATTTGACAGATGGGTATGTGTTGATTTATATTGTACAGTACTTTTGACTATACGGCAAACGTGTTGACACTGAACTCTTGCAAACAAGGGTACCCTTGTTTAGTTCAGAGCGTTGAAACGCGTTCTGAATAAGAACTATCATCATAAAAATTATATAGACATATTCTCTGATAATTTAGCTTTCATATGACATATAATACTGTATAAAAGCGCGAAATCCAACGCGCCAATGATTTTTCAACGAACAGACGCCGCGAAGGGCCACAGTAACCTTAAGCATGAAACTGAAATAAACCTAAATAGCGCAAAATAGTGCAGAACCCTTTGTTTTCTATTGTTTAAATGTTCCTATTTTTCACAATTAGCTAAATAAATTTCATGGTTTAAGTGCATTCGCTCTATGCATTGACGACAGTTTGACAGGACAATGGGTTGTTTTCATGAAATCGTGATACTGTGCACTGATTTTACATGCTTATATGTAGCCCCTCCACAAAAATGACCAAATAAATATTTAGGATAAAAATTTCAATTCAATCATGCTAAAGTGCGAACACTAAAAACATGAAATCTTAGTACTACTAAATCATGTCCATTATTTTGTTTTCTATTTTTCAAATTAATAGTACTACATGTACATTTCATACTTTAAGTGTTGTCAATTTCTCATTTATTATCAAGTACAACAGTGATTTAGTGCAAACCATTACTATTAATTTTTAATTTTTTTTTTGCACTTCAAACATCTTTTTTTTTTTTTTTTTAACATATTTATTGAAATAAATCCACGTTACAAGGTACAATACAAAAGAAGGTAAGACAAAAGAAATTACACTGTGACTAGGAATAGACTACAAAATTAATTACAATTTATATATAAGATTATTAAATATATTAATTCAAAGATAAATTAATAAATTAACAAAGGTCCGTTTTTTTCAGTAAAGCATTTATCTTTTCATATTTCTTTAAATGCTTGAATATTTTAGACTTACTTTCGGCTATGATATATTCAACTTTTTCTTGCAATATTAATTGATGTTGAAATTCTTTTAAAGTGGGAACTTTAAACTTATTTCTTGCTACATATAACAAACGTTTAAACAATAACAACAACATATTTTCCATGAYACCACTGTCAGAGCCCAACAGGATATTTTTAAAGTTAAGTTCTGGGAAGTTGATCTCATWTTGTTTGAGCCAACTTTTACATTTAAAATAAAAATTTCTTGTTTCAAGACAATCCACAAAAAGGTKTTCAATTGTTTCACTTTCGTTGAAACAAAAACTGCATTTAGCAGAGTCTACTAGTTTAAAGGACTGAAGTTTTTGATTCAGGTAAAGACAATTATTTAAAATCTTATACTGGAACATTCGTAAGTTTACGTCAATTGTGCTTTCATATATTCTATCATATATCCTTTCCCATTGTATGTCTGGTAGAACCAGTTTTTTAGATAGATATCTTTGTGAAGACGGTTTTACAAATTTCTTTGAAATAAATTCCCAATACAGCATTTTTGAACTAATCTTAGACAGTATAATTGGTGTTGCATTTAACGTTAACGTTCTTACAGAGCTAATGGTATTTGTTGTATATTGATCTTCGTTTAGTTTATTTTTCCAATCAGTTGGAATAGCGTCAATGACACTCCTCAGCGTTAAAAAGTCACTGTATTCCCATCCTTTTAGTTTGATCCTATCCCATTTCCATTTTTTACCTCGCTGCCACGCCTGGTCAACAATCTTTATTCCTTTACCAATCAATTTTATTATTGTTAGAAAATCAATTTCTAATTGTATATATTTATTAAACCATATTGGTTGCTTAAGAACATCAGCTGCGTTACGTATAACTGTATCACTAATCTCCGCCCAGGCTTTAAGAATATCTAAATAGAACTTTGGCATTTTCAACCTTTTAACTACTGAAACGTCGAAATTGGCTCCTAAACTATTAAAACCACCAAGGGTTTTGAAGTACAATACGCTAAAGCATTTCCAATACTCTGCATCATCGGTACTGATGAGTTTTATCGCCCATTTAACGCGATTGGCCTTTACAATGGACTCAATATCTGGTAATTTTATCCCTCCGTCACTCAAGTCTCCAATTAACGTTTTATATTTTATTTTGGGTTTCTTATTATTCCATATAAATTTCACTATTTCCTCTTCCACTTTACGAAAATATGACTCTGGGGTGGTGATTTTCGAAAAAACATATAGCAATTGTGATATAGCCAGAGAGCGGACAGCTACTGCCTT